AGGACGGGGAGGCGAAGCCAGCGCCAGCCCCCAGGCGAGGCATCCTCAAGAAGCCCCCCCTGGCCCAGAAGCCCGGCCATGGAGAGGTAGGGTCGCCGGGGGTAAACGTACGCGGCGGGAGTGCGTTCACAGCACGAGTGACTGACAGTTTGCTTTATCCCCCATCTTGTTTCAGCCCGAGCGAGACGCCGGCCCGTACCCGCCTCACGGGGCGAACTAGCGGGGGCTGGCTGTGTTTTTCAACAGATCACGTTGCCTTCGTGCTGGCGTGCCTTCGTGCGCCGGGATCTCCCCACCGCCCGGCCTGGAAAACTGGATGTTTTTTTAAAAAAATACATATTTTATTTTGGGGTGTTTTTTTTTCTTCACTTGATTCCTATCTGTAGAGCTGGGGGGCTCCTGCCAGCTCCCCGGGCAGCGCGGGATGCGCTCCTCCTCCTGGCCCGCCAACCCGCTGTCCCGGTTTAATTTAATTTGGGGTTCGTTTGGGTTAATTTTTTTTTTTTAACTTTATCAGCACTAGAAGTTTCAGTAATGTAGCTCTCTACTGTACTGCTCAGACCCTTTCAAAGAGCTGTGAACTGTTTTTAAAGTAGGAAACTGTTGGGCTTTTCTTGCAACCATTTTTTAAACTCCCCTTTTTCAGCTTGAGGAATAATTTGACTTTGTTTCGGCGTGGGATCGGCCCTCAGCGGAGAGGGAGACGTTAGCCTTACCTGGCACGAGGAGCAGGGTTTTTGTAAGGGAAAAAGCAGTTACTGACATACACTGGCAATAAGGATACAACCTTTTTTTTTTGTTTTCCTTTTCTATTTTTTATTACTACAGCAACGTCAGGGGATTAGTTGCATTATGTTTTGTATTTAAGATAATTAGCAGAATTAAATCTAACCGTGGCCTACGGGAGCCAGGGGATAGAAGTCTGCAGCAATAAGGAATTACTGATGTGGAGAGACATGGGGGCAGAAGAAAAATCCCATCAGCTGTATCTTCCCTTGGAGCTACTACCAAGATGTAGAATATTAAAGAAGCAATATTTAAAATACATGTTGTGCTGCCTGGTCAGCTCATCGGCGGGGAGGGGGCTGAGGCCAGGACCGGGGCAGGGGTATTGGGCTCTGCTCCTTGAAGCAAGCTGGTCCTGAATCCCGGAGCCACGAAAGGCAAGAAGAGTGTTTGAAGGAATTCGCTAAAGCACCGGGGCAGGGTGGGGGATGTGGGGACACCCTTGGGTGATGTGGCCTTGTGCCCACCAAGGGGTGGGGGATGTATGTCTGGTTATATAGATATATACACACACACACATATATACAGATACATGTGTGTATATGCACACACACAGATAAGAGAGACATATGGGTATATGTGTATATATGTATGTTTGGATGTACATATACCTGTATATATCTCTCTCTAAAAAACTATATATATTCCTCTATAGCTACCTAGCTATATAAATATAGCTACATATTAAACTATATATTGTCATGCTTTTTTCCTGTGTGTACATATGAATGTATATTTGTTTAACCACACCTATCTAGCGTGTGTATCACATGCTATCTATACATGTATATCTAGATCTACACATATGCATTGCTGTAGATACATATATCTAGCTATAAAGCATCATGTCGATATGTATCTAGGTATATGCGTGCATAAATATATCTATAGATATGTATCTAGAGAGTTGTGTAGCTATATGCATCTATGTGTGTATGGCCGTGTGTGCCTATATATAATGTATTTTTTAATATATATGCACGTTTGCATATTTTTATAGTATGTGCATAGGTCTGTATTTATGCAGTTGTCTCCGTTACGGCTGCAGTGCTAAGGCAAGACCCACCCCTGCCCAGCGTGAGCAGCTCCCTGGGGCAGAGTAGCACATTCATTTCTGCCGCATACGATCCCCGCACGGCTCTCACTGGTGACCGGAGTGCCCGGCAGCCTTACTGAACGTAAGTGTCTTAAATAAATAAAAAGCAATCCAGCCACAGCAGCGTGGGTGCAGGATCATTGCCGCATTCCAGCTTCCAGCCAGGGCAGCCGTTCCCTGCAGCCTCGCAGCTGCTCATCAGGAACATTAGCAGATGCCTGCAAGAAACGGGGATTTTGTGCATTCTCTGATTAACTAGGAGTACCTGCGGGGCGAGCGACAATTCTAATTTCCCAACCAACTGCGTTCCACATTAAAAGGCTTTCGTTTTGATACTGGTGTTACTGGGCAAGGCAAGCAGCTGGTCTAATCCTGCAAGTTACATCAAGATCTTCTCCAGCCCGAAGATTTACATCCTTCCCAGCCTTCCCATGAAGCTACAGAGAACCTCTTCTCTACAGCAGCGGTGGAGGAGAGCTTAGCCAGCCGTGTCCCTTGGGTGACTGCTGCCACACCGCGTGACGACATCTGCCAAGCTACGGCAGCGACCGTGGCCAGCTCCGTACTTCTGAGTTTCATTTCTTTCAGAAACCTTTTTTCTTGGTACACGGAAGCGCTTTCCGCAGTAGCTCGCCGTCTATTTATAGACAGTGATAAAGCTATATTTGCTGGGAGACTGACGTCATCCTAACCACTCACAACATTACATTTCATAATGGAAATACTGATTAATCAAGAATGCTAACTTTTAAATCTCACTACCATAAGTCTAGCCACAGCTATATTTAAAGTTTAAAGAATTCAAAAATAAAGTAAAACGTGGCTTTAGGAATAATGCTATGGGTAAATGTGACTTGTTTAACACTGCTGCTGGTTCACTACGATTTACTTAAATGGTTACTTACAGAGGCTACAGGTACAAAAACCCAGACCAGCACATACAAAGTCTCAAAAAATATGAGCAAAAATAAAAACAAGCCCCAAAGGCCACTTAAAGTGTAACCTATGTGCTAAAGCAATTTTTATACCAAAATTAAGCTTACTGTCCAGTCTAAGATATTCTTATGTCCTATACTTTTTTGAAAGTATTTGCTAGTTGTAGCAGACAAACAACAAAAAAAAAAAATCACAACTGCAAACTGTGTATGCAAAGGTTTGAGACTCCAAAAAGACATCCTACTGTACAGGCTCCAATTTGCTAATGACTTTTAAATATCATTATTGTACCTACCTGTGGCGAGAGGAAGATGTTTAACTTGATGTGCTACTGACAACAAATTTTACACAGTACCTGTAACAAAAGCAATGCAAAATAACCCAGCGAAAGTTGTGAAATACTACAATTCCGCTCCCTTCCACTGAGGTTAGTACAGTACAATTTATTTTTCCTGAAGCAGCTTTCAAGCAGCCCATTATCAAAGCCCTCCTTTCCCCACCCTTTGGCTCCCTCAGCAGCCAAATCTCCAGCAACCACAAATTGGTTTGAACAGGAACACACAAAGCAGCTGAAGTTCACTAACAGCACTGTTACAGAGAGCAAAGTTTACAAAACACAAGCGTCTCTTAGATCACTGGGGAAAAAAAGTCTATTGCAACGATGCACACAAATAGAAAACACTGCTGTTACATGCTCTAGGTAGTCAGGTAAAAAAGTATGATTTTAATTAGCCCTTAATTAAAGCCATGAACAGCAGCCACCCATTGGCAAGGTATTTTATTTCCCTTTTGCACCTCACCTGCCAGTAGCAGTGACTAAGGCACGAGTTACATGCAGCTGGGCAGTACCGCTTTTAGTGACAGCATTTCCTCAACAGCCCAACCAGAAAAATGACTTGGGAAATACAGAAACATCAGCTAAGATCCCCTCATTGGGCATGCGAGCTTAATCCAAAACAGAGAAATACAAAGATTCCCCTTACAAGCAGCCTATCACATCTGATAGCGGGAGACAACTAATACACATACCAGCCCAAACGACATTATTACATTTCCACACTTCTCCACAATCAGCATTTTCTCCTCAACCAGGTGGTCTCATTCCAGTGCTGAGAACTGCAGCCCCTCTCACCTCCCATCCCCTATGGGATGCAGGCAGCTTCTTTCAAGACTAATGAATGTCTCCAAAATTAGCCCATCCTGAGCAGTGGTTGCTAGAATAATGTGCAGCTTTAAAGGGCACATAACAAGGTGTGGAACTGGCTTATGTGGTGAGAGGAAACATTTTTAGCTTTGAAGGAAAAACTAATTCCTACTCATCATCTACAAGAGTGCAGAGGAAGCACCCTTGAACAGGTTGGAGACAGTAAGCAGTACTAAAAGACAGCTTTTAGCTTACAGCAGGTAACCAGAGTTCAAGGTATGCGCTAGAAAGTCTTCCAGTCTCAGCGGTCTGCAATTTGTCCTGCAGGTAGGGAGCAAAAATGGAGCTTCGGCTTCAGGTGAGGTTGAGAGCCCACCATAGGCTGCCCAGGGACAGCCTGCTTTAGGGACGTCAGCTGGAGCACCAGAGTCCCAATAAGTCTTCTCTCAAACTTCGGCTGAGACAAAAAAAAACGCTCAACAGAACTCAAAGCAACACGTCTTGTTTCCGGTGACAAAGTCTCGGAGAGGCAAACAGACATACCTGTAAAAGACTTGTGCCCGGGTTGATTCACGTACAGCCAGAAGAGGACTCAAGTTACAGGAACAAGTGCTACTGAAGGATCTGCATAGGCTTGCACGGCCTCCAAAGCCAGCTTCCAGAGGAGGGACGAGTCAAGACCACGTAAAATACTGCCAGTGTATCGCTGACATATCACCTGCCCTTTCTGTGTTACTTTGCTTTTTTCATTACACACCTGATATGCGAGTTCCCTACCTGGCAAGGTCTGGCCATACTGGGTGACCTCTCCTTTGCACAGGGATCGATCCCACCCAGAACAATCTCCTGGTGCACATAAGCCACGGGGAACGGCCATCTGAACCCGTTTTGGAACAGGCACTTGTCTTACATGGACCCTCCTCAAGCTGCAGAACACTGGCCCTTGCTGCAAATTCTTAGAAGAGCCGAATAGAACTGCAGCTTTTATGTAACACCATCCCTTCCCTCGCCCATCTGCACCCAGTCAGCACTGCAACTTTTCCTCATTTGTAGTTTCCTATTTCTGCATCAGCAGAAGGTTATCAAAGCTCCGTAGCCACCACAAATGGAACGTATCGAGAAACAATTTAGAAAGGTATTTCCTTCCATTATAGTATCAGTTATGCAGTAAGACTTCTATGTCACATTGCTATTAAAGCAACAGATATCACAGAAAATTACATCAGGTCTTTTCTGCCCTCTGACTCATATTCTTAAATAACTTTGGTTGACTCATTTCTCCTAACTTGTCTTGGCTGAAACCTAAGTTTTTCCTTTTTTAATAAATAAAAGCAGCTTCCCCCTTCCTTCAGCTTTTCTAGGTGAAGATTCTAAACTATTCCAGCTAATTGTAGGAAACTAAAACAAAAGTGAGGGAATTCTACCTGGCGAGACAGCCCACCTCCCTTGTTGCCATGATACAATGTGCAGAATCTAATCTGAGTATCATCCAGTCACTAAAAACATGATCAAGGGATTTACTACAAATAATTCAAATTTCTTGCAAATTTATGTTCTACATTCACCTACAACTGTTGCTACGTAAAAAATGCCATTAGTACTAAAAAACATTGACATAACCGTGATTAAATGAAGCCACAACAGGAACATCGCACCAAGAGAGATATGCTATTTTATTTAAAATCAGACCACAGTAGATTACAGAAAAACTTATTATGCAAACAAATCCACTGTACGTTTCACAAGTTGCTAGGCATATAAAGTTGCCCCTTTATTAGACTGTCCAGGATTACACAGAGGAACTGTTCAGGTGCAGGACGACTCTACCTCTTCTGAACTCAGTGTTTGCCAAGTAGCTCTATATTCAGGCTAAAGGAATTGCAGATTTGAGCTCTGTATCTAAGTCATTATTCCAGTTTGAGGGCAGAGAAGTCCCAAAAAAGAGGTCAAGACTGAGGTTGTGGAAGTTGGGGCACTAAACATAACAGTTACCCATGACCAGACTGTGCCCAGGGCTCTGCCTCCTGGCAGCACACGGACACTTAATATTCAATATAGTCCCTCCAGGGTCACCGGTGCAAAGGTGACCTGTGTGGATCAGCTGTGCTAGAACAACTGACTCCGCTTCCTCTAGGAGACAGCACTGAAGTGCAGTGAAACTCATCCTTGAGTTAGAACCATTCAATGCTGATCATCGAATCACCTAACCACATACAACTGAATTAGTCATAACTTACAAAACTGCATAAAAAAGACTAGCAAAAGTAATGCCATCCAAAGAGAGCATTTTCAATGCTACCGACAATCTAAAGCCGTGTTACACATCATATTTAAAAGATTTTTCTCCACTCCAATTGCTTTGGGGAAGTATATGCTATTTGCAGCAGACATCAAAAATCTTCAAGACAACATAATAATATATATATTTCGGCAAGTATACTGAGCCACCCCCTCTCATGTCTCAGCTTGCCTATGGCATTTTAATCTCACTATCTTATAAACAGTGCAAATTAGTATGATTCTAAAAATCCTAGCCATAGCAGAATTTATTTATTAGTTATAACAGAGCAGGATAATCTGTTGAAGGGCAACAGGTCAAAAGCACTGACACATCTCTTGCCCGACTCATTCAGCTTAGTGTTTTGCAATGTTTGTTTCCGAAAAGATTTAACAGCTTTCCACAGTCAATCTTTCTCCTTTACCCTTACACATTACCAGCAGCCAAGTATATATTTACAGTTTGTGCGCACACACACACAATTAATGGCAAAACATTTTCCATGAGCAGCTGGATTTCAGTTATGAGATCGCTCTAACTGAAACATCACATTACATTATCTATGTTCTAACTTATCCATCAGTGAAGGCAACTATAAGCTTACAAATAGCAGATACAGCCTTTGTTTTTTCTGAAGTATGAGGGTGAATTTTTTTTGTAAAAGAAAGTGCTCTTGAAGAGCCCTTAAATTTGAGTAAGCAATGGCCATTCAAATGATAAAAATGCTAATATCCTAGTATTACAATCACAAATAGTGATCCTAAGGCACATCAGCCACATGCATATGCAATAATGCATTGTTTTGCTTTCAGACAGAAAAATTGCATTAGCTTTGTCTGTATTTAGTTTGCACAAGAGTTTGTTTTTAGATAAAGTATCCCTGAAAGGTCATGTTATCACAAAAGTTACCAAAAGACAGAAAATTTAACAAGTAGTAAAAATATTTTTGGACTACTAATACCAATAAAGTTAGATACATAAAATGCAGTGCAAATTCACAATACACTTATCTATCACCTCCATCACTTCTAAGGATTTTCAACCCTCAGAAAAAAAGTTGGCACTTGATAAGTGTAAAATATACCTGGTTGGTTTTATTAAATGTTAGCAAAAACTAATTTGAAAGTGTTTTAGAGTTTTTGTGTAGCAGGCTCAAAGTATGTATTTCTGTACTCAGTCACCACCCCGGTAGCCCCCACTCACTTTAGTTCTTTCTAGAACACAAATCATTGCTACAGCAGACTTATGTTTAGCATTCAGATACAACAGTTGCCATCCAAATACCAGCACTAATAGCACAGCAAAATTACTTTGAAACGAGTCATAATTAACCATGCTTATACGAAGCTTCAGTGAGAAAATAATACCAAGAAAGGATATTACACTATTTAAAAAAAAGAAACACATCCTGTACCATCACTAGATTACAGAAAAAACACACTTTGCAAACAAATTCAATGCACATTGCTTCACAGAAATCCCCCATCTATAGAAACTTTCCAGACTTACACTGGGGAATTGGTTCAGATGCCAGTAACACTGACCAACCTTCTGCCCTTTGTCTTCAGAAGGCAAAACAAGCCAAATAACCATATTTTCAGAATAGAGACCTTCCTGTTATGAGCTTTATTTCAGCTTAGTATTTGCTAGCAACCACCACACTCCAGAGGAAATGATCAAGGGACAGTCAAGGGCCTTACGTAAAGAAAAAAAAAAAAGATATTCTATTTTGACTGAAGCTGTTTGTAGTACAGACCTCCAAACAATGCAGTGCATTCCAGGACAGCGATATGAAAATGTTTTGAAATCATGCAAGTGGCTATAACAGATTCTGGACTGTGCGTTTCTTAAATCACCATGAATTAGTTGAAAATTGCTTGTGGATGTGAGAAATTGGTAACAAATTTATGGACACATTCTGCGCAAGCAACTAATGTTAAGATTTGCCTCCCCCGATGCTAGATTAAAATAAGAGCATGTGTCTGCACCTCAGGCTTCAAGAGTCACATGGAGAGTAAAGTGTGAGCTCCCCTAAAAAGCCTCCCCGTCCAGTGGCATAAGAAGTCAAAAATGAATTATTTAAGATGCAAACAGTCAGCATGGAGTTCAAAAAGCTTTTCTGTTTTGCCTGCTTGCAGAGAAATGTTAACTGCAAATTCCAGATAGACACACATGCCAAAAACGGCAAAACTAAAGGAAATGGGAAAGTTAAAAATAGTTCTGACAAGCAAGAGACTGAGTTTAAGGGATAAAATGAAATTATGGAGCTTCAAGTGGGCAATTGCATGATGTGAAAATTCAGTATTTGATTAAGAAAATACCCTGCCTAGATTCCTGGAATCACATGATATCAAAAGCTAAGCACCTGTGTAAAAAAAAAAAAAAAATATCACTTTTGTATCCAAGATCTGGAAAAGAAAAAAAAACCCTAAGAAAGAGTCTTAATAGGCAAGGAAATAAAAATGCCTGGTAAAGTTTCTATAAAACTCTAAACTAGCTCTACAAACAGTTTAGTTTAACTTCAAGAGACCAGGACTTTCCGGATATCAAGCTATTTAGGAGTGGGAGGAGCGTGTACTTTTATTACGAAAAGTCTAAGGTAACAACTGAAATGTAGAAATGAAACTCTTGTAACTTTTACTATCTAGAAACCATAGAACATTTTCTGCCAAGAGTTTCAGCTCAGTGAGCTCTGAAAATGTTGTGCACCTGGCCACAAATGCCGTTGTCTGCACACACTGCAAAGGATGCCAATGCGGTCCGTTGCAATGCCTTGCACAGTATTCAGATACGGTTGTTACTACCCAAACACTGGCACTGACAGAGAATTCTTTAGAGACAAATAGCTCCCAGTTTGCCACACATCCAGCTGCAATGGGAATACCTCGGAACAGAAGAGGATGCTGATTTACCATCTCTAAAGAATTCAGAGAGTGATTTGGTTTGTAATGTCAGGAAATCCACTGTATGCTGTCTCACAATTTGATGGATTTACAAAATTTAGACCCTATCACCTTCCTAGAAAAACCTTGTTGTCACTGATATTTGAAAACAAAAATAGTCACATTTACCAAACACAATTGCAAACCTCTGTGCCACAGCTTGAATTTTGTACTCTATTGTGCAAAAAAACAGAGGCTTTCCATTGCCTACATTAAGTCTCTGATGGGGAGAAAAATGAAATATAAGCACCAATACATAAGTTAGGCGCACCAAAATATTCACTGGAGGATAAAGCCAGGATGAGGTGGAAGGCGAGGTGGTCTTTGGGGAAGAGCTGGAGGATACTGTGGTACAAACTGAGCTGGGTATCCTGGCTGTGGCATTTGACTTGCAGGCTGAACTCCTGGTCGAGGTGGAAGAGGAGGATACGGAGCACCTGGATAAGAAAGAGCTGGTCCTGAACTCATGGCTGAAGTAAACGGAGTAGGAAAGCGTCCTGCTGGGACCGAAGAAGGTGGAGGGGGTGGTATTCGTCGGGGCACAACTGAAGGAGGAGTGTTTGCATCCGAAGTGTAGGAATCTTGAGGTGCTGGTGTTGTTTCAGGTGCTCTTGGCTGAGCCTGTGGAAGTCTCTGTCCCTTCAGCACCATTTCTTGGAGCTTCTCAATTTTTACACGTCGCAGGTGAGCCAGTTTACGCTTGCTCTGGTACTCATCAATGAAGGAATCCAGTGGTATTTCACCATCAAGAAATTTTTCTGCCATATTCTGTCAAATATGGAACAATCTCTCAGAAAATGGCACACTGCAAGAGAATCTAAGTGGCTTATATCCTAAAAATAGCATAATTTGCCTGTAATTTTCCAGCTTGCATAAGGAAGATGACTGGCATACTAAGAATTCTGAGCAGAATTTTGAATTAGTTATTACTCAGAAACATTGGAAGTTAAATATAAGTTTTGCTTAAATTTGTACTGAAGCAACAGCAGTAAGACATCTGAATCTAGCTCTGAACATTCCTCTGATCATCAGAGATGGGAACGAATCAAGTTTAACAGCTTTCCAGATTGCCAGCTAAGATGAATTACAGCTCAGTACTGCTTGCAATGCCAATAGCAACACTGAGAACTCTGCAAGCCTGAGTACAGAGAAGCGGATTAAAACAGATTTAATACTCACGCTTACTTGTGGCTTTGGGTAAATGATGTTTCATTATTAAGAGAGGTGACCATACATATAATCACAAAATTCAACTTGTCCTCGCAATGTCTTTCTGTGATCACAACTCAGGGCCCATAAGCAGCATTTCTGCCTGATGCTAACATGCTATGTAGTCTCTATGTAGAGAACATCCTATAGGCAAATCATCAAACAAACCCAAACACTTCCATTATTCTGAAAACAGACCACCCTTCAAGCACTTGTATCACAGCGAGTGGTGACTACTGGCACCTAGACAGGTACATTGAAATTATAATGGAATATTTCACTGGAAATGCTGGAGAAAAAACAGTGCAGGCATAGTTTTTCATTAGGTTACTAACTGACGTTTGTAATGGATTAATACTTGTACCAGGCAAACACCATCAAAAAAAAATTACCATATTTATATGCTACGAGTTTGAAGGCAATGCCAAGGCAATGAGAGGGTTTGGCTTTCTTTTCTGAAAAGGAGCATCTTCTCTCTTAAATTTCAAAGACGTTAAGAGTAAAGAATTACTCAGATAAAAAAATTCTCGCTGAAACCAAATGACTCTTCTTTGAAGTTCAAAGCAAAGACCAGACCATATTCTTAAAAATAGCCCTTAGTCTGTTACGTGTTCCACACTACACTGCAGCTATGTACACTGGAAGTCTTTGGTAACGGGTATAAGTGGCAGAACAGAAGTGTACTGTCATTACCTCTGTGTCTTCCTCAATCTTAGCCCCTTCTGTCTGAAGCAGCGCTAGTAGTGTCTCCAGTGAAGCATTACTGGATTGTCTGTCTGCAATGGCACAAAAAGAACAGTGACAGTTGGCTTTAAGTGACTTCTAACCGAAGCTTTACAGCCTCAGCCAAAATATTTCTAAGGCACGTATATACAACTAGCATACTCCATTGTTCTAGACAGGATGATCTACACTAAGAGAAAATATTAAGTAGTTTAGGAATATTGTCAGAGTGCTAAGAGCCGAAACTGAGTTACAATTGAAAGACAAAGCACTTCAAGTGCACTATCAGATGTACAATACTTCATAATTCAGTATGAAAGGAGAAAGTTAAATGTAATGTTCCGTTTGATTTATGATTAATCACTGAAAATTCAAATTATATTTTTCTTTTTAGAAAGGTAAACGAATTTGATCATTTAGAGAAGAGTAAGTCAGCAATAAGTAGGTAACCACACAGTAGTAGAAAGAATCCACAGTATCTGTTACTAGGTGTAACAGATACTTAATAAATCATTACAAGCATGATCTATTTCAGAACTACATGACAATGACATTTCATTTTGTACCCTAATTCACACCGCTAAAAACGAGACACCAAAACCCAAACAAAAAACATGCAACAGATTTACATTCACTTAGAAGACAGCAAATCATAATCTTCAACAGAAAATGTTACCTAGTTTTGTTTTCTTTATCTGGTATGCTTCAAAAAGAACTTGCAGCTCTCGATATTTTTCAGTTAAATTTGATTTCAAAGACTCCAACTTTGGCTGGTACAAAAGATTGCCTTCTGCCAGACTGCGGTTGCTGGCAAGAGTCATGTCCTTGCTGTGTTGAACATTTTGGGCCTGGAAATAAAAAAACACAACTGCATGAAATGACAGTGAAAACACTAAGCAAGACTAATGGTTATTTAGACAATATGAGAATTTCAAAAGTTCTAAATAAACAACAAAAGCAAGCTCCCTCTAAAAATTAGTACTATGGTATTGGACTTGCAACTAATAACAATACTTTTGGACTTTTTATGAACAGTGGGAATGTCTACGGTTTTGGTAGGTACAGTCAGCTTTGGCTATTGCGCTCTTTTCCCATGATCTCTTCTTTCTGCTTCACAAAATCCTTTCTCACAAACTCTATTTTTACTGCTTTACTAATATACTCTTTTACTAGCATATCATCTAGCAGGAATAAGGTCTATGCTGCAAACAGCATGTTAAAATCATCTAAAACAACAATGGACTGCTGAAGCTCATGGGGGAAAGACCTTCAGAAGAAGTGCCCTGAGAATAAGGATCTCTCCTTTCAGCTATGAGCACCTGTGAATTAATTCCTTTCTGAACAGCAATTAATACTGACCTGAAGTCACTTTCCTGCACATTTTTTTTTCCACATGCAGCAGAGAGCTCATTAAACAGTTATGGGCAAGGACTCTTAAGAGCGTCCCTCTCCTTTGAGCGGCAGCAGAGGTGCCCGTGAACGCTGCTGCAGGCAGAACGGCTTTTGCCTGATCAGAACAGGAACCAGGTTCCCACTGCGCTGAACTGCTTGCAAGAGGGAGGTTTCATCTCGGTGGTTACCATGTAGAAACCAGTCTCTGGGAGCTCTTAGACATTTCTCTTAGGTGGGAGCGGAGTGCAGTTGATTTCTTCTAATTCTTGTCACAAATTTATGTGAGGTGTGACCTGTAGGCTGTCACAGCTTTGTGAGATCAGATTTTTACATTCATGCCCTGCTACCTGAAGGAGCTTTGTATGAACTTTTACTCGTTATTTAGTGTTGATGCTTCTTCATCTCCACCTCACACACCACCCTTACCATTCCCCCATGATGAACGCTGACAGATACAGCAACAGCTGCTCCTAAAAAAGTCTTTGAATCCCAGCAGTAAGATGCAATGAGACTGCAGAAGAATGTCATCTCTTATCTTATCAAGATGCAAAAAGCAAGGACTGCATCATTACGGTTCTTTCTCCAGAATATTCTTCCCCAACTATGTTAAATCAATCCTGGATTAATGCCAAAAGCTTGTTTTTCAGTTTAATCCTTCTGCTTAACATATCCTAGCCTGAAGACATTGTTCCTAACGAACAAATGACAATTCTTAGAAAACCAAGATTTGGCAAGTTTCTGAGTTTGCTCATATACACACATGCACACGATTTTATCAAGACAGTCTTCATGAGCTTTGGGAGAGCTGAGTGTTCGAGGAAGTCTGTTGCCCTGGATGTCACATTAGATTCGTTAAAATACTCAGACATCAAAAGAAAACAAACAAAAAACCAAGGGATCTGATTTCAGATTTTCAGTCTGAATCAACAAGTAGGATAATTTTCCCATGGCATCACAGACTGATTCTATTAAGCTACCTTCAAAACCAGTGGAACATTTGGTAACACTTTTTGTGACCTCCTGCATTAACAGGTAGAAGGTACCCACATCATCCCTGTTTAGCTGTAACAGATCTTATTTACCGGACAGTTGCACTGAATTCAGTGCGAACACGAAGAGCACAGTGCTTTCTTCCTTTCACATTCATGGTTGGATATAGGAGAGCCACATCTCAGAAACAGGAAAAGAAGAAACCCAAATGAGCTATTTAAAAGCCCCAGAAGAGGACAGGATCAGAATTCAGGTGTTCTCGGCACATGACTAGGTGCATCAGGTGAAAATATTTTCCAAGTGTAGCAACAGTGTCTTCAAAAGCAATTATTTCCTTTTGAAATATTTATACACTGCTTTAATCTGCTAAATTCAAAATTGGCTCAATGTTACTTAAACATATCTTTGGCCCCAGATATTGCTCTTCAACTACCAAAGTTTTTACTCTCTTTCACTCTGTTCTTGCTAAACCACTTAAAAAAAAAAAATCAAGTCAAGGATAATGCTGAGTCCTAAATTCTACATCAAAATAAAATTCTATTACAAATAGTGAAAATCGAAGAAACTGTACTTGTGATACTGTTTTGTCTTCTCGAGATTCTCACATCAAGCCTAAACAAGCTTCCAGCCCTATGTTTGTGTTCAACTTGAATCCTTTCCAAGAATAAAAAGAAAATCCTCTCTTCTTACTTTTGAATGCAATGAAAAATAATTTAAACTGGTTGCTTCCATTTGTTTCTTCTCATATGATCCAACACTGTTAAGACTTTCGCTTTCAGAAAGCTTAAGTCCCCCCTATTTTACATTCTTTTCTAACAATTATGAAGGGAACTAAAATACACACAATTTAACAGCTTAATTACTGACATCCCAGCTTCTTACCCAGTCACCTGCCATCACCACAAGTTTTGTTAACTAGCTGTCTTCTGAACTGCCACCCAAAGAAGACTGCATGCAGAAAGATTCACGGTTTATGATGCCTCTCCTCTTTCACCATTTTAATGAGCAAACTACTTCCTTCAAGTGACTTCAATTTGATCTGGTGATTGTATTTTCACTGCTTGTAAGGCTGATATTCTCATTCCAAAGCAGTTGCACAGTCAGTCTGGGAAGACCAGTTTTATGAGTGGACTTTGATCTTTCTTTAGAATGAAGAACATGTACATTACCTCTAGAGAGAAAAAAGCCAGTGGACACAAACCTATAAACATTTCAAGAGCACAAATTCCAGGAAAAGGAATCTTCTACTGAAATCATATATAATAAAGAAGAGAAGGAAGAACTCCACGTAAACAGTCAGAATAGCAAAAAAAGCTTCCTGAAGTCAGATGAGGCTTTGGTGGTGTTTTTAAACACTACTTTTAAATAACTCTCCTGCCTCAAGTTATCATGTGTCTCAACACAACTAGGGAGGGGAAGGAGGAAGCAAATACCTAACAATGATTTTCTGAAGAACTTTACTTTCAAATTATTTCAAATGTGTGAAGATGAATAAATATCAGCATGACATGATGTACCTGACTTGTAAAAATAAGGAAAAAAACCTGATATTATGACAGCATTGGAAAGTCATATTTACCTGGCTCAATGGCAGACAGCCATAGGTCACCTACCTACATCTAACACAGAGTGACAGCCATCCTTTCCTGTCCTTAGCGTCTGATATCTATTATGGACTTCTCTAAACCGAAGTGAAAGACTTAAAAATACTTGTTTTAAAACTGAAAAAAGTTATGGTCTCCGTAATCGCACTTTAAATTACAGTGCTTGAGATTACGTAAGACTTAATGACTCAACTTCTTCCATATTATAGCACTTCTGAGAAGGGCACATTTTTTCTACCGAAGTTGAACAAAAACCATAATTGACATTTAATGATCAATTCAGGGGTCATTCTTGAAATCTTCACTTCCAGCATTAGTCTGTGTCAAATTTCTTTTAAAAAATGGACAGTTGAAGAGATGAGAAACTCAAATTGAACTTTACTCAAAACCCTGACAAGAACCAGTTCCTCAAATACAAGGTAAACTTAGGAATGACGTTTAATGAAACTTAAGGAGGAGCTGGTGAAGACCCACCCACCTGTTCAGGACATTTGAACACTTCCTGTCACTGAAAAAAGGTTTGAATTCTATGGAATGAGTAAATTCTATTTCACAACAAATAGAACAAATACAATCCCAAAGCATTGCAAGCTGAACGCAGCCATGATTTTACAAACTAGAATAATCTCTGGCACTGATGTTAAGGTCCACATAATAAATTTTTCTGCAACTGTTCCACTGTGCTTGGAAGGTAATTCAAGGAATCAAAAAAGCAAACACTGTGAAGCTAGCCCAAAAAGCCCTATAGAAACACTTTCAAAAAAACATTGACTAATTCAAAACAAACAAAAACAAACCCAGTTGCAAAATCATCCAAGGGTCAAAGATACAGTACAGCACAACCAGTCTATGAAGATTATCAGTGCAGCACTAAGCATGCTTTCAGCATCCATTCACAGCCTTCCACAAGCCCAAGACAATAGCCAAGCAAGGAATAAATCCCATATTTTGTTGTCAGATGCGTTATGCAACAAAAATGTGTATTAGCAGAGAACCACTACTGCATCAGATGTTCACCTGCCTACCGGAAGTGCAATGAAAAAAGTTATTAAGAGAAGTAAGCAAACAGCATGCGACTCCAGCGGAATTGCTAACAAGGCTATTGAGGTCATGAGCACTTCAACAGGCAGGAAACATTAATCTGAAAACAGATGAGAAATACCAGTCCCAATCACGAGACACAATGAGACAGGACAATATCAAAGACAACATACACTTTTTTTTTTAACTGCTAAGCTCTCACTACAAAATCTGAATGGGACAAATGGGGCAATGATACTGAGTTGCTTGTAAAAGGGTTTTAATGGCAGAAGAATTGCTCACCACTGAGTAGACCACTCAAACCAAACTGCGCGCTGCAAGAAAATGAAGCCATGGACACACAGAGGTTATTAAAGACAAAAACCATGCTTTATTGCAGCACTTCAAAACTTAAGATCCTTAAAAAGTGAGTTTCTTTAACAGAAATAATTTGAATCATTTTACTCAAGGATTTATTTAATTAGCACTTCCAAGAACAGGCAGCAGCAACTGCTCTGGGAATTGAGATTCTACTACTTTCATCAGCTGCAGCTTCGTTTCATCCCACTTTTAAAAAAGGAAGAAATGCTGGATAAAATTAAAACAGAAGCAAGCACTAGTTTAGCCACATTTTTACTGTTTATCATTTACTCCAAATTAATGGTTTGCAGCAAGCATTATCTGTGCAAAATGTCTCTTGAGAAGCATCGCTCCTGTTCACCCAAAAGCACGTTCCCAGAAGAACAATTCCAGACCAGATGCCTCCTGAGATGCAGTCGGAGCGACTGAAATCCCAACTACCCACAAAGTCCATCAAGTGCTGCTATAATTATAAGCT